TCCCTGATCTCGAGTTGAAGAATATGTTGGTGAAAGGCACATTTCAGCACACGCCGAACAGAGCATTTCTACTGCACACGTCCCTGTTTCCCTCCCCACCCCTGTCCCTTAGTGGAGAAGCAGAACTCCTTCTGCAGGGGGCTTCTACCTGTACGCAACTCCCTGTACACAACTCCCACCAACCATCTTGATCCCCATAAATAAGGAAGATAAACCTATTTTAGGGGAGTCTATTCCCATTAGCTTCACAAGGCCAGGGCTAAACCTCTGCGTCCATAGCCTGGCGAGTGATTTTCTCCTCCAGTGGGGCAAATCTTCGCAGTTTATGGCTGGAAGTGAATTCACCCATAGGAAGACTCCTTAGGCTGAGTCACAGCCTGGCTGCATCTTGAAATCCAACACATCGGGAAGGGAACAGATTTGGGGAGATGAACACAGTTGATGACACAGCCTTTAACAGGATTCCAGTCGTGGCCTATTCCAACTTTACATCCCAACTGTACCCAGAACCTCCTCCTCCTCCAAGGAAAACCTATGGCTAAACTCCTGTACGGAAAGTTGGAAGAACTGGTCTACAGCTGGTTCGCTGTGTTCCAAAGCCAGTTAACTTTCTGGACTGATTTGTTGCCAGAACCTAAAGCCAAGAGGGTTTGCAATGTTATGGAGATAAAGACATCTTTTAAACACACCCAAAGCAATATGTATGGCAGGAAAGAGCAGCTTTTTATGCTTCCGCAACCAGGCCAAGAGATTTTCGCCCCCCCCCCCCGGGCAAAGGAACAGATAGCAGTCTGATCTTCCCTGCACTGAAGCCAACAAGATTTTTGCAGGCGATTCGAATGTCAGCGCTGGCATCTGGACAGAAGCTGTGTCTGCACCACGTACTTGGCCTGCTCACTGAATTAATCCATCTTCTGGGTTTGCTCAAGACATTGAATCATAACTTACCACTTCACCTGGGTTCATGCAATGCCCACTGGGTCACACGCACAGTGGCAAAAGTCCACAGTGAAAGCTTTGCGTGATCTGGGGACAGAACTGCTAGGGTGGAGGCGCAGAGGGGCGGGCCGTTCTAAGCCGGCCACTGGCCCAGTGGTAAGATCCTGTTCTCCTTTGTGTAACAATGTCCACGTTCTGCTCTCTGAAGTGAATGCCAGCCTTTGGCAAATGGAAAACTTGCACTGTTCTCAGACCTCGATCTTTAACACCTTCTTCAAAATGTTGCCTTTCCCTTGCACGCACGTTGCATTTGTTAAAGACGTCAGAGGCCAAGCATCCATATTTCACAGCTCTTTGGCCCAAAAGAGGGGCTATTATTTTCAAACCCACCACAAAGGTCACCCCATTCCCTGCAATTTAGGGTTATCTACTATCATTTGTAAAACACATGCAATGCACGGGGAGCCATTACACCTATTTTGCAAAAGGATATCTATTTGGACAGCTAGTCTCGCGTCGGGTGTGACCTTACATGGTTGCCAACCATCCTGGGCCCTTTTCTCCAGCGTCCCCAACACCAGAACCAAGTGATGAAAATATTTTTTGCAACATCAGCCCCAATTAGATGCTGGTTTTCTCTCTCATGCTATCTCATACACACCCACAGCCTGGGCAATTTTTTCTCTACTTTAGCAGCACATCTTTTGACAAATATTTTGCACCTGAGATCATTTAACAGGTCATACTTTAACGACTCCTTTGTCGTGAACGTAATGGTGGGGGAAAGTCCTTCCAAGGGCTGGCCCCATTGTTTCAAATGCATATGGACAGGATTGTTTTGCGGGAGAGCAGAGGGGGAGTGAGAGAGCAACCCTTCCTTCCACATCCTCAACTTTTTTTTAATGCAGAATCAAGGGAGGTGACTAATACAGCCACTGAGGAGATATATGACCAAACCTAGGGATGAGTGGGGTGATCAAGGTGGTAGTGCAAGAGAAGATACCATCCCGCCCTCTAGTTATGGGGTGAATTCTCAGGTTCTTACCAGCTGTTGGAAGGCAGGCTGATCCAGGTCACTCTGCAGGGCAAAATTGCTGAGAGCTTTCCAAGGTGGCTGATAAGTCTGCACCTCTACCGCACTGCCTTGCACGGCACTGTCGTGGCGGATCGGGCTGCCAGCAACCAGGGGGGTCCCAGTTAAGCCCTGCAAACTCTTGGGAGGAGGCCAAAGGGGGGAAAGGGAGAGGAGAAAGGTCAGCCAGAATGCAGCCATTTCTGCCCGGATCAAAAATGGAGAGAGCGATCGGGCATTATCTGCAGCTTTTTTTCAGGTTTCATTTGCCCCTGTGGATACAGCACATTGGGGAAAGCTGGGGCGAGGAATGGTGTGCGTAGAAGACAGAGCTTTGAGTCTTTTGCCCAACGTGAAACAATAAACCAGCTTTCTCCTCACCATCACCTGAGCTCAACCCACCAGCTCTGGAATTAGCACACAATCAATGTCCCATTCGAGCCGCAGAAGAAAGGGGAGATGCTTAAAAATCGCCCTTTGCCACATATTGCAATCCACATCTGTGGAGTCCTTGGTGCTCTCTGAGCTTGGTGGTTTGCTTGAAGACGTTTCATGACCCGACGAGGGAACATCACCAGTGCTATCATCAGTAATTAGTGCATCGTCACTAATCAGCAACTGGCACCGATGATGTTCCCTAGTCGGGTCATGAAACGTCTGCAAGCCAACAGCCAAGCTCAGAGAGCACCAAGGACTCCACAGTTCAGCCCTGAGCTACAGAGATTCTTTTCTACTGGATCCACATCTGTGAATGCTACCTATCTGGGGGGTAACTGGCTACTTAGTGGTGAGAACTCTTGACATGGTCAGAGGCATTCTCAACGGTGAGCAGAACTTTCCAGCAGCCCTCAGTTTTTAGAAGTGATCTGCTAATGATGGAGAAAAAGTAACAAGAACACATTAATAACAAATTCTTACCCAAAGGAATTGCCTTC